AGCGTTTAGGTTAGCTAATTAATATAGTAACGGATAATTTCATTAAATTCATTTATATCCACGGTAATACCATTATACTAAAAAGTGCAACATGGACCATATTGAACTGTAAGTTAACAAAACAATGGCATGAGTGTGATGTAATATTAAAACTTTGAATTATGTGAATAAAAAACAGTTTATTTTAAAGCATCAATAATTAACTTCATACACACAAACTGAATCTATAGACTCAGTACACTACTGTAATGTGGTATGTTCTATAAAAAGCTATTAATATAATTGACTATTGACTAATATTTAAACTTTCGATTTTTATACACTTTAACACAAAAACATTCGAACTGAAAGGATGTAGGCTACAAAAAAATGATTTAAAAAGGAATTAGTATTTTGAACATAATTTTAAGTAATTATTTATTTTATCAAATTTAAATAATTCATGAGATAGAGAAGCTGACTCTCAATGATTCTGGATTCTGCGGTTTGATTATAGTAAACTAGCTGTACCCGCGGGCTTTGCCCCGTTATACTTCATAAGTGAGCTCGTTCGCATGGCTCAATCAAGTCCTGGTTGAAGTTCGTTCGCTACGCTCACTTACCTTTAGGTTGGAGCTCGTTCGCTGCGCTCACCTGGCTTCAGGTTAGCTCGTTCGCTACGCTAACTCGCCTCCAGGTTGAAGTTCGTTCGCTACGCTCACTCACCTTTTGGTTGCAAATTAGCTGTTGTCATTAATTTAAAATAATAATAGTGCTTCACCCTGTTGGTAATCCTTGTAACTTTAAGGCTATTGCACATCATAGAACAGAACCAACTTGTTTAATTGAAACAGCTGTTAAGATTCATTAATTCCATTTAAATATGAGTACTCATAAGGTTAACATGGGAAACTCCAGAGCCACTGGGGCGGAGCCCGAGAGTCCGATCAGAATAAAAACAACTTAGTTTTCTTATGTAATGCCTAAAGAATCAGTGTACCAAATTTCAGCCTCATTGGTAAATGGGAAGTGGGAGAATTAGTGAATTAGAATGAGTGAGTCAGTCAGTGAGGGCTTTGCCTTTTATATATATAGATAATCCTTGCAGACCATGGCCTACATTACAGTTTTAAAGATTCAGAAAGTTGTTTTACATCTGCAATGGACAATATTATTTGTTTGTAATATCGCTAAACTGTTGTCATCTTTAGGCTACTGCTGTAGTCTACTCGTCCACTGCAATCAACTGGGGCACGCTGCGAGGGGAGGCAAAGTTTGTACAATATTAACATCGAGTTTTTCACAGAAGAGTTTCTCTCTCACTCTTCATGTTTAACATCCTCCCTCTCTATCGTACACAAAGGAACTTGTTTAGGTTCATTCCGGGCTAGGACTTAATAAGCTTCCCAGTTTCTTTCATGTGGTCCCTTGTACAGCATATCCACCCGCCATTGCTGAGATTTCCACCACGATTTAGGACCAAACGATGTAGGATATTGTAGTTGTTTAAAGTAGTAAATAAAGCACAACTGAGCACCCTAGAATAATAATTATATTTGTAGAAGTGACATGTTTCGGATATGAGTTAATTTTGAAACTTCAAATAATAGTAGGCCTAAATACTTAACCTTCGTTTAAACACTGTTTTTTTTTGTGTAAATATATATAGATTGTGCAGATGATATATACAACTAGCCAGGATTTGTAAAATTTGATTATTTAATTGGAAAATTTGGTCAAAGATTGGGTTTCTTGGAGGAATTTGGCTATTTAAAATATAATTTGTATTTTTTTAAGTTTCCCTCATAAATGAAATATGCTTCATTTGAATACATTCGGTTTCCTTTGCTTGTATTCGGTTAAGAGCTTGAATGTGCTCTTTGAATGTACAATTAATTAAAAGAACTTTCTGTCTGACCAATGTAGAATTGTTCGCAATCAGTGCAGTTAATTTTGTGTATGCCAGATTTGACGGAGATATCTTGATGTTTGTTATTTGTGGTTATTTTATTTGTTATCATTGAAAGCGTTATTTTTTAAACCAACTTTGTATTCTGAATCTTGAAAAGTTTTTCTAGTTGTCTTGTTAAGAGTTGTATTGAATGGGATACTCATGCATTTTTCTTTCTTTGTTGTGATCTTGATTAAGCTTTTTTGGTACTTTCCTGGGAACATTCATTATTATCGATGGTTTTTTCTCGATATATCGATATTAACAAATTGAAACATATCAGCTGACAACTACGATAAATATTGTTTAGTATCAACAAACAATAATAAAATGAAACCGTTCTAAAAAAATAACCTAACATAACTAACCAAACATGCTGTAACATTTAAAAATTCCGTGTTTAACTTGCCTTTTCTGTTATCAAACGGTTAGCTTAGAACAGTTAATTTCATTTCTTAATCCATATAATAGACTGTTTTAGCCTAAACAAGATCAGTTAGTTAGTTGTTATCAATTTGTAATGGATCGGAAAACTAAAATATCGATATAACGAAATAAATCATCGATAATAATGAATGTTCCCTTTAACAGGAAAGTACCGATTTTTTAAAGATTGTAGATGATTGTGTTCTTTATACCCATTGTTCAATTATATTTTGTAACTTTCCTTTTACATTCGAATGTTCAAAAGAAGATTTAGCATAGATCTGAGAGCAGATAGATTGTTAGAATTTGATGGAATCATTTTGCTGATTGTGTTTGTTTCCTGTAAATTTTGAAATCATTGTTATATTGTTTAGTTATGTCAAGATAGTGTTTTTGATTGTCGTTAATTTCTTGGGTAAATTTAATTTCCTTGGAAAATGTGTTCAAATATTCTTAAAAAAATTTTCTTTCCTCTTTATTTCACTCAAAAAAGGCAAATGACATCATCAACATATCTGAATCAATATTTTATTTTGGAATGAAATGGATTTGAATCATTGAAAACTTTTGGTTTATCATGTACCTATTTGTTTAGTCTAGTTAATTAGAATAACGGCCACTGAACCAGAATGTTATGTTTATTATTGACAATTTGTTGTCTCTTGTAGAATTTCGATGCAAAAATTATTTGATGTCTTCCACTTTCTGCATCACGATTGTAACACCCAAACGTAATCAACGTTCTCTGCGAATGTGTACCAGTAACATTGTAAATGCCCCATGCATTGTGGGGCATATCGTTGGCTCATACGCGATGTTGCATTGTGTGGCTAATTCTGTTTTGGATATAACAACAGTTGGTAGTGAAATACCACTCGGATGTAGCTTTGGATGAAGATAATGTTCCTAGGTAATGAAGGCCGTGGACATAGACAGATCTGTTGATAAAGTTTTAACACGCCTCAACATCTGGTGTAACAGTTTTGTGTATTGTGTCAGGCAACTGTTAAAAGTTATACTTGTTAGGCCTACCTGGCTGAATATATATGAATATTCAGTTATAACCTCCAAACAATTTATTGCATGTTTAAAATTTAAATGTGGGTTTTAAAGTTGACATTAGCTATTGTGTTTGTGCTTAGTGGTAAACAAATCTTTATTCTTGCGGTCTTTTTAGACTGTGACCCCCCTTTTTAATGAATTCCCTATTTTATAATAACTAACCTTAAAGCGGATACAGAAAGGTTTTGGAATTAGGAATATAAACTATAGCCTATGTAGGCATATAATATCGTTGTTTGGTTTTCAAGTGTTTTGTTTGGCTTTTTAAGGAGTGCTTGGAGATTTAACTAATTCTGAGCATGGATAAGTTTGTATTAAAATCATATTTTATTGATTTCAATATTTTAGAGTTATTAAACTTTATATTTAATATGTAACTAGTTTTAAGGACATGAGCTCCTTTACCATCAGGAGTGATTCTCATAATTTTCACACTATATAGAAACAGCTAGCCATCAGTTTCACATACCACAGGTCAGCAGATTGACTAAAACCAAGACTAAAAATAAAATCTTGGGCCTAATGAATAAAATGCCCAACGTGCACATATTAATATGTTTGATGTCCATTACATAAATAAATCGCTATCTCGTGTAGTTTTGACAACCTACTCCTCGATCTGATTACGGAAATCAAACATCAGTCTACAATATTCATTTAGTTACCAACAATGTTGATATCGGCGTTAGTTCCAGACTATTGAGAACTACATGCCTATTTTATCAAACGGTAATCTGAAATTGAACATTGATGGCATTTCCCCAGTTTAAGCATCCAAAAGTTTTTAAGACTTCGGTATTGTGCAGAAGCAGAAAACAGAGAAACCCTATATTCAGTAGGACTAAGTCATGTACAATCAACAAGGCATAATATTTGTGTTGAGTTGGGCTGCCAAGAAGCATTAGCTTTTTATACATACCTTTATTTGAGGATTTTAATTAAGTAATTTGTGTGATCTTTTTTTGTCTAATTTTAAACTGACTTAATTTACAATTTTATTTGATGGTTTGGAACTGATGTAATGTTAATGGACCAATCAACTTACAGTAGTAAGGGAACTAACAGGTTTTGTAAAGCTGAAACTATTACTATATTCAATTGGAATAAAATTATGTGCTACACTAGTATTTTATAGATAGACTATGCTTCATTCAATTTGCAACTTTCAAGCTAGCTAGATAAATCATTACTCAACAAATTCGTTTATGGAATGCTTTCTATAGCTAGTTAGGTATAGTAAAATATTGTATGGTTATAAGGTTTTCTGTACAAAATTTACTTTACGTTAAGTGTGTTGTGTTAGAGACAGTGAGTTACTGAGTTGGCGACATACATGATGGGTGGCGGGTGGCGTAGTGGGGTTATGCTTCTTTGATTGACAGGTGGTCAGTAATCATCGGCTGTTTGAGCAGAACCGAACCGGACTCTAAACACTACACGAACCCTGATGTACAGTCAATCACTGCCGGAAACAGCGATAAAGAGTGCCGGAATTGATCATATCGTAGCACACAAAGTTCCTGGAAGAATATAGATTGTAGTTCGGGAGAAGGCCGCGCGGGTCGCTGTCGCGGGAGATGAGTGTAGAACTGAAACTCGAGCCGGTAGTAGGGGGCGTGGTCGTGACGGTCCCGCCCCCCGGCCATCACGTCGCCATAGCAACGGACTCACCATTGGTCCTGCGCGCGCATGCCCGTTACCCCCACTCCGTTACCGGTCCACTCGCTATTCCGTGTTCTCAAAGTTTGGAAGGCACTTCAGTTAGTCGATGAAAGCTAAATAGTGCGTCCCCCACTCTCGGTCAACACGACGCGAGCTTAGGCTACGCTGTTTGTTTTTTCAATCGGGCCGAGACCCCCCGAACCTGTTGCTAAAACTGACCAGTCCTGTGTACACAGTCGGAGTGAGTGTTTGGACAGCGAATTTCGGACACGTAAACGGATATGCGGTTACAGTGAGTGTATGTTTGTGCTATGACTATGTTATCGTCGCAGAAGCTATACGCGGACTCGGTGTCTAGCGCCATGAGCACGGCCGCCGCGGTCAACACCATGAGTCCGTCCATGACTCCGACATACTCCATGAACTCTATGAGCTGCGTCAGCATGAACTCGTGTTCACCTCAAGCTGGTGGCTTCAGCTCCAACATGCTCGCGGGCTCGGGCATGAGCGGTATGAGCATGAACGCCAACTGCATGTCTTCAGGAGGCATGGGCTACGCACCCAACATGAACGGCGTGGGTTCCTGTATGGGATCGATCAACTCCGGGTACAACGGCGCTCTGGGACCTGTGGGTATGCCAGGAGGAAGAGACCTAGTGCCGGGCGACGGAGGTTCGCCAACTCCAGGGTCGGGCGTACACCGGGGACGCATGGAGAAGTCTTACCGTCGCAGCTACACACACGCCAAGCCTCCGTACTCCTACATCTCCCTCATCACCATGGCCATCCAGAACTCTCCCATCAAGATGTTAACGCTCTCGGAAATCTACCAGTTTATCATGGACTTATTTCCCTTCTACCGCCAAAATCAGCAGAGGTGGCAGAATTCGATTCGTCACTCGTTATCGTTCAACGATTGTTTTGTCAAAGTGCCGCGAACTCCCGATAAACCGGGGAAAGGATCTTTTTGGACTCTGCACCCCGATTCGGGAAACATGTTCGAAAACGGATGCTACCTAAGAAGACAGAAGAGATTCAAAGATGAGAAGAAAGAAGCGATCAGACAGTCACACAAGAGCTCCGTTTCTCCGCACCATCATCACCACCACCATCACGGCGGACCGGACGATAAGAAACCTCTGGACAAATTGGATAAAGTGTCATCGGAACTCGGTCTGCAGGGGTCGATGTTGGGGCTGCACTCGTCCGGCAAGATAGACGATCCGATGTCGACGTTACTGCACGGCAACGGCGAGTTGTGTCTTCAGCCGCAGCACGGCGGTCAGCAGGGGCTGCAACAGGACGACCTGGCGGCGATGGTGAACCGCTGTCACCCGCACCTCGTCCCCGACCACTACAACACCCACCTCAAACAAGAGTACGCGGCGGCCAACCATCCCTTCAGCATCACCAGGCTGCTACCCGCGGAGTCCAAGGCGGACATCAAGATGTACGACATGGCCGCACAGTACGCCGGGTACAACGAGAGCTACTACCAGAGCTCCCTGTACCACGGACCTGCGGGCACGACGGCGTTGTGACAGTACCCTCTGGCATAGGCCTCCGCCCCGCCGTCGCCACCATCGTCGCTCAACCATAGGTATCCTCACTACAACCATCACTACCCTTCACATCACAGGTAGATACAGTGTTGCTAAACTGGACTGCTAGAACATTAGTCGAACTCAATTTTAGGGGTTTATGATTTTTTTATTGGATGCATAAAAGTTAAGTGTAGGCCTATATAGGCTCTGAAATGAGAATAATTTATCCTCTCATAATTTCTCGTTTGTTCACTAAAATATTAAATATGCATTACGTATCATAATGATAATTTTTAATTTGAACGATTTACGAGAGGTCAAGTAGTACATATTTGTTTAAGGAAAATTAAATTATTCTCTAGTTTATTACAACATTATAATTTATCATGATTCAAATCTCCGTATAATTAAGTCCAATAGCCTGTTATAACAACACTGTGTCACCAGGAGGTCCGAAATATTGTAAAATAATTTCCTTACAAATCTGTAAATCTCTCAATGTGGTGACGTGTAAAAAGCTAGTGTTAAGAAGTTATTGTTTGTACATATTTACCTAATTGTTACAATTTTCGTCCAATCGGCAAGTTTTTCTTGCCCGTAGCACTCTCGCCGTGTTGACGGTTTTTTGCAATCTCATTTTTGTCTCGTCAAATCGACTTTGTAGATAATTGTAAAAATGTCCGATTGTTAGAGTAATGTTTAGTTGATAATTTTGTAACTTGTAAATGACACTTAGGAATCTCTAACTCATTATAAAGATCCGCGATCGACTGATGTAGAAAACAACTAATTTAGATATTTAATAGTTATACGTTCAGTTAGGTGAAATGAATATTTAGCAATCCATCAAAATTAACGTTGGATAACATTTAGTCCTAACATTTTAATTTCAGTTGTTTTTGATTTTGTTTAACTCTGTCATAATTGCTTTTTTTAATATTATTACACTGTATCTTTTAAAAATACCATTTCATCAATTCATTTGTAAATTATTTTCTGTTTCGGTATAAACGAAATGATAAAAATGTTTTTTAATGTACGTGCGCTAAATATAAAGAGTTTTACGCTATAAAACACAGGACAAATTCAAAATTGATAATCGACCTAAGTAATTTTGAAACATAAAGCTATCTCTTACGGAAAGTTACTATGACGTATACTCAGTATTTCTTGGCATCTTTTACTCTGTTGTAAGTACTGTAATGGACTCGGATGATTCAGACAGGAAGAGCGGAGTTATCAGGGAATGCTCAGGTTATCAGTTATCAGTCCCACCTCAAATCTTTCAATTGCCTTAGATAAGGCGAGCCATGATAAGAGACGCGGGCTACCTGCAAAGGTATCTTTCAAATGTTGGGTTACATTCATTATCATTATCGGCAGATACAGTGAATCATCGTGTATATTTTCGGTAACATATGCAGCGTTTTTAAATACAGGTTAAACGTCCTAAAGGGTTGTAGACCGTATCTAGGGCACGCATAAATAAATAAACAAACAAGTTGTAATATTGATTTAGGTCCCTTATGTAAGTTTTTTCATTGATTGAAAAAGTAGGGAATTTAATTATTGTGTTGTTATTTATTAACAAAACGGTAAAGAAGTTTATATTTAGCATAATGCAATAAGTTCTCGAATCCGTGAGTCATTCAGTAGGTTTCATATATTATAATTTAATTTTGTATAGGATGTAGTGAAACGCTTTTTTTTACATAACATAGGTCACAATAAAGACACTATTTGAATATATAATCAGATTTATATCGCTAAGGAATCTACGCATACACGATTAAAAAGTATGAAGGGTACCTTCGAATTTTCATGTCCAAAAAACAAATAGTTATAAAGTATGTTCGTTCCCGACGCTTATTCACCTGGCCCACAACGTAGGTCTGTGCTGCACGAACGTTGCTACAACTGCATTTAAGGTTGATCTGAGATGTTTTATTATCATCGAAATGTTACTGTTTTCAGTTATTTTATGTTATGTATGTAAGTTACCAGTCCACTGTATTTTTTATTTTTGTAGCCTCATAAATATGTATACTATTCTATGGTTCTATCTAAAGACCTCGCATGCCCATTGCCCATTTTAAAATCAGAACAGTGAAAATGTAAAAACTCGACACTGTCGTATGTGAATTTCAAAAACATATGACGACAGATGATTTCGACAATTTATTGTATTAATGCATGAACAATATTGAAAATGAGTGTTTACTAAACAGTGAATAGTTTTTACGGATTGTTTATAAAAAGCAAAAGATGTCTGTGATGTCCAAACTTTTGATATTATTTCACGATAAATTCATTGCTGTTCTTATGTATCACAATATTTTCAAAGATTTGTGTTAACTTTAACGTGTTACTCAATAATTGCCCTTGAAGTGTTAAAATTGTATTATAGCAAGGTAGCTTAAATTGAATCTTATTGGCCACTTCGCCAACATAACTTATTAATTTTTGTTGTATATTATTTTGTATTATACAGTAAATCAATGCTAGTATGTTTTTTACACGCTAGTTTAACTCATATATTTGAATTACACTAGTTTTAATATCTGTACAGCGCGGCACAAGTGTACGTCCACACTGTAAATATAGAATGTACAATTATTTTTTATTCGAAATAGATTTTCTTTATTCACTCATCCAGTATATACATATTGCATATATTGTGTTTTTATAAATATATATTTGTCTGTAAATATAAATGAATGTGAGGATGAAAGTTACCTATAAATATTGAAAATAAAAAGATTGAATATGTATAAACTATTTTCTTATTTGACTCCTGTTAGTATTAAAACAAGTTATTTATTTTGCCAGAAATAACATGTAAATGGATTGGTCAGTATATTCAGATATTTAACAATAATTGACTTTATGGTAGGTTTTATGCAACGGTTCCCAAATTCTAACCAGAGAATGGACATTTTAAAACGAAAAATATAAAGTATCACAAAAGGAAATATCAAAGGAAGTGTATCCTTTACGTGGACAATTATATGATGTTTTACCCCAAGGTAATGCTTTTTGATATTATGTTACGAGGCAATGAATTTGTCTTGTAATAGGCCACTAAGCGATTTGATCGCTCATCATTCTTAAGGAATAACTGTGTTTGTAAATTTATATTCACATTTATAGACCAGTTCACCTAAGCCAGGTGGTGTTTTAGTACATGCCATATGTTTCTCAATTAATCCTTGGACTCAGATGCATTAAAGCGGTCTAAGGCAAAGCATTTCTGTATTATGTTAGTAACTTTTCTTTGGAACTAGTGTCATGTTGGGCTTTGCAATGGGTTGTGGCCACAGAATACAAAAGCTAGTATTTTCCAGCTACTGAAGAAAACACTTGACTTGCAATTGGTATTAGAACAGAGAATAGTTTTGATAATTAGAAGTATTTTTAGAGCAGCAATTTTTAGACCGATTTTGATGGTTTAAGTGTCAAAAAATTGACTTGATCTATAGCTATGCAAAGTGGTTTTCGTTTTTTGAAATCATTATTAGCTTGGGCAGGATCTTCCATCAATGTTGGATTTCTCCAAAAGGTTAGCATGGAGGAATCTATTTATTTAATTGGAAACATTGTCTCCACTAATATGGGGGAACGGCTGGGCGTAGAAGCTTGGTAGATGTGTCTAAAGAAAGGTCTTGGTCTGTAGATGAGTCATAAAAAGAAAAACGAAGTAAATTAATTCCCTTGGGGCTCTGCCCCAGTGACCTTTAAAGTTCCAGCCCCAGATTTGTTTACATTATGGCCATATGGATAATTTTCACAACTATTTTAAATATACATTATAGCCCAGTCAATAAAGGTAAAAATAATGCTTTGTCGGAAGTAATTAGTGAAAGGCAGATTTTTCTTGGATGTTAGTTGATCACATTACCCTACACCCTTTTAAGTTTATTTGTGTAGGCTTTTATTATTTTATCAATATATCGGAAACAAACAGCAATAGGGTTAGTTTTATTTCAACATTTCAATCCTTAGAATATCCTCTACAACAACATTTCTTATTGAACTATCTTATATCTATATCTATTGTACGGGTTGGTGTCTGCCTTTTTGACCCCTTTTGCCAATATTTTATCATATTATTCGAGACAGATAATCATAAGTTCATGAGATTATTGTCATACATGTTTTCAATCATTGGAAAAATGTTAAATTGTGTAATACAATACAAAACAATACAAGTGCAGAAGGGCCTGTTGGCCTTATGAGCCGTGACCATATTATGTTACATTAATAGTGGTTTTCAGGAACTGAATTAAACTTTTAATAAGTTTTATGTAGAAATAATGTGTGCATGATTTAGAAAGTAATTAAGCTGGAAAATTTCAATTTACTGCAGAGTTTTCAGAAAGGTTACTTCGATGTATTCATTCAGCTTAGTGAAAACGTAATATAGATATATACAAATAAGAACTTGAAGTCATAGAGAGCCGTAGAATGTTATTAGACTAACGAAAGGGTTGTGCATGTTTAATAGCGTTACTCTGTAACAAAAATAATTTAATTTATCTCTAAAAGAATATTCTCAAAGTGCACATAGCAGCAGCCTAAAAATACTATGTAACTTACCCAGATAGTTTTATAAGAAATGCTCAAACTCAATACTCAGACCAGAGCCATTTATTGCGCTTGGATTGTGACATTTACAATTCGGCTTAACTGCATTTCTTTTAACAAACAGATTATTCATCTGCAGAAGAAGTTCATTGTGCTCATGTCGTGTCTACTAACATCCAAACTCAAAAGACCTTGCCTAAAATAGTACCTAGATCTTGACAGATGATTTGCAGGGGCCTATTACGGACAGTGACCCACTTACGCGAGAGATTTTTTCAAATAACACTACACTTCGACTGTAAAAAAATTTAACAAAGAGTAGTTACCATTTGAGCAGCTACTGTCATGACAGAAACGTCATGTTCCTTTTAAAATAGATCTCATCATACTTTTTAAGATACGTTGATTAACAACAATGCATGTAAACGTCGCTATTTATGTAACAGCCAATTTACAGTATTTGCTTTTTGAAAATGCAGCATTGCTATGTCATTTACATTTTGTTGCCAACGAAGCCGCACGACCTTATGAACGAGGCCCCTAACAGTTAAAGAATAAAAGCCAGCTTCACTAGAAGTATATAGAAGTATATGAAATTGCAAAGGCTGAGACAACTGACATCCGCAAGTCAAGTAATTTCAGCTTTAACAGTAACCCCACGACCATCTTATCAAAAATATGCTAGAGGGTTATTCATTGCCATAGAAGTACGGTATGATGACCGACGTGACGAAGGAAAAAATAAATGAGGAAGAACGTGCCTTCTCGACAAACATATTTTTTCTGAAATAAAAGCTTGGTTTCAATCTGCATTACTCTGATGAAATCGCGGAAGTGTTTACCACAAAAGATCGACCAATAAGATTTTAATAACATTTAAGGGTTCTTCCAAAAGAAGAGAAACCATTTAACATAGTAATAATAACTCCGATGACGCACGGTATGGGAAATATTTTATTCTTTGAATGATCAACCATATTTGTAACTAACGCAATAGTCATTATTGGTTTTACATATATTACTCATTTAAAAAAAAGGTTAAACGAAAGCGGTTGTGAAATTGCGTTCTTTTAGGTATACAGATGCAGAAGTCGTTATTTAAATTTAGATTTAGGGAGCAACAAAAAGAGGTAATAGTGTAGTCAAAATAGAAATTTAAAATTATAATTAACTATCAACACATTTTATAAGTTTTTTTAAATATTACCATGTGTTTGCAACAGGTTAAAATCCATTCAAACTAAATTTAGCCTAATACTAACAATATTTTCTAAAAAATTTCCCACCTAAAGGCTAAGGGGGTGAAGCATACCTCCTTCATATTAATTGGATTAGTTAGTATTTACTGTAAACTGTCAGAAAACCCTTTCAAATACAGTTTAATATATGTTTATGGTTTTTAACAAAATAAACTTACTATAACTGTAAAATAGTTACGCAGGAAAATATAATAAAAACAACATCGGTTAAAATAATTTACAAGTAATTTATATGTTTTCCTAAATAAAGAAGAGGAAGAAAACTAAAAAAATATATAACCCTTTACGTGCCCTTTATAACGTATATAACCCTTTGTACATCTACATCAAACCAATAGTTTGCGATGATTGTAATTTAATGGATTTGTATTGTTCGTTAACTCAGATTTAAAATGATATTGATGTGTTCGGAAGCGTACTGCACGCTAGACAAATGCTATCCTAATATTCATATTCTAATATATACCATACATGATAATGGATCTCATAACTAACTTATCAGTTTACACGTGTTTTTTTTTATCAGGCCTTAAATATATTATTTAGATCAATATTATAAGGCATTATTTACTCTACGCTTCCACTAGCAGCAATCATTAATTTAGACTGAACCACTGTGCAATGAATGTATCGGAAATCACCACTAGAATTCGGCATTATTTAGTATTTTCTACTTATTCGATTTGCCATGTATTTCAGTGTATTAAACTCGTTTTTGGTATCCTTCAGAGATAGAATTTCAGTCTAGCTATACAATGATTTTTAGTAGTTTAACCTTTTGAAGTAGTCTCAGTATTTAGGGATATGGTTACTCGATTATAATCTATTTCTATGATTATCATGTCAGACTTTTTAGGCCTACATACAAATAAATTAGAAAATCCACCACAGTATTTAGTTCATAATGGGGTTTTATTAGTTTTTATATCGTCAGTTATTTTTTCTTGTTTTTAATATTAACTACGTGCAACTTCGTAATTTAATGTAACAGTTTGAATATATTTATGTTAAACGCATTACTGCATCAGCTCATTCTTGCAGTTCTAAGATTTATATTTAAGCGTTAAATTTCTTTTAGTGTAAGTAGAAATATACTCCAACCAATACTATAATACTTTTTCAATACTTTTCATTTAAATGGCGACCATACAATGTAGGTATTTTAAGCCAAGTATGGGTGGAGATGAGTGTAGTAGGATGAGTGGCGCGATCTTGTAGTCTTGTTAGTGACTATAGGGCTGACATATTTCTTAGACACAGCTGTTAATTAATAGCCCATACAGCTAATGGCAACTAAGTAACCTACAGTTTATAGTGGAATCCGAACTACATTTTTGCCTTGGTATTAACAAATTGGTCTAATTATCAGGATAGTACTGCGGAAAGTCGTAGTACTCACTCGTGTGGACGTTAATCTACATTAGGGAGTATCGCATCTACAGTGCTGCCTATAAATATCCACAATTTGAGACCTTCTAGAAGCTGGATTACAGGACGACGCCACCGTCCCAGTCTTTAAGTATAATTTATTTAATTAATACAGCTTAAACAAAAGATTTTTCTTAATTTAACACAAATTGAATTATTAAGGGGTTTCTTCCTGTGAACACAGTGTTATTATTGGTAGATCCAGTGTTTAGTTATTTTCCAAATAAGGTTGTTTATATACAATTTAAATATCATAAGTAATTGCCCAATATGCGCAGATCATTCCTTGAGTTTAGGAATTATTATAAATTAGGCATACTTAGTTGCAATCCTAAATAATAACATTTGAATACGGCCTTTACACTGGTTGATCACAAAGCCTACTCATTCTAAAATATAGTAGCCTATTATCAACTGAAGGCAGGGCTTTATGTATTTCAAATAATTAATAAATAATAT